CAGAGCTGGGATCTGAATCGCTGCCCACAGACCTTGGGTTCACCGCCGCAGCATCCTGATTCCCCGTGACTGGGCAAAAAGACCACAAGCCACACCCAGAAGCTCACGCTCACTAAGCTCCTCTCAGGAAACAGTTCCCCAAAGGACCAGCAAAATGGAGTAAGCAGAGCAGGGAATGGAAGTCCTTTGTGTGCTCTGCGCAGTGGGCAGCAGTGTCTGGACCAAAACAGACGCTCGTGCTTGTGCCATGGAGTCTCTCTGGGCGTCTTTGCGGCTGTCCCTCCTACCACAAGGTCAGCCCCTTGAGGGCAAGAGCTGGGCCCTGAATCCTGCCTCTCACTCTCCAGAGAAGTGCTCAGGAAAACAGCAGACGAGCGGCAGATGCGTTTTGTTGAAAATGTGACGAAGTAGAAAGAAAAAGGAGAAAGATGGCAATAAACATATTTCTTTTAAAATCCAGCAACGGATTCCTTGGGCGAGAGTGGACTCTGACTGTGATGCTGAGTGTTCCAGTGGGCGACAGACGAGAAAGCGGGAAAAAGCAAAGCCTACAAAGTTGGTATGTCGAAGGGTACGAGGATGGCCGAGGAGGGCCAGACGACTCCAGGCCTGGCCCGTGTGTGCAGGATGCACTGGCTTCGGCAAAGTTAACTGACTCTGCTTGACTGATGCCCCGAAGGGCAGCAGAAGGCTGTCAACAGATAGGTCCTTCTGTTTCCGGAGAGACTGCACAAGGCAGGGGCTGGCCGTGGGAGAAACAAGGATTCAAAGCCAAGGATAAGGCTGTTCTAAGATGGAGGAGAAAATATTCGTCCTGTGGTTTCCCCGAGTGTAAACAAAAAGCAGCTGCCCGAATTGAGGGGATTGCTCCAAATTTTCAGGGAAAGGACGTGTTGAAGTGTACTGGCTTGACAACCTTGTGGCACTTGGCTATGTGAGACTTCAATAAAAACTTTGAACTACAACAGCAACAAGACCCTTTCCTGTGTCTTATTTCTGAACTCAACGCTCCCTGATATAAAACATAAATGGCGGCAGAAGCAAGAAACGCACTGTTCAGTGCAGATGGGGAAGGTAAAAATGTCCCCACTGGTCTCCAGCAGTCCTTCATTCTGGCCTGTGACGCTCCCTCTCATCCCGCCTGGGGCGCATCCTGACAGAACCCCAAAGCCCTATGTGTACTTCACGGTCACTAACCCTGAGCAGGTGCCACTCTGAGGAGCAAAAAGGCCCCGCCAGAGGCGCCCGGCACACAAACCTTCCCCACCAGAGGGGGCGCTGGACCAGCTCAGGGCCCCCTCAGCCGGGGAGCATCATTCCTGTTCACCACGTAAGGCTCTGCTTAATGAACCCAGGAAGCCCCACGACATTAAATCGAATGTGTGTCTCTCCATGACACGCAGCAGCTTGAACTGAAAACATTCAACCAACCCTATTGTTTTCAGTGATGCATCTGGATTTTTAGGGACTGCATTTGTTTCCCCCACATGTACATATGGCTGCCCGGTTGCCAAAATACAGCCATTGACTTTGCAAAGAAAAAACAGCAAAACGAGTTCTGGCAGGAGCTCACCTTCTCCAGTTAAGCCAATCGTGCAGGTATTTTGCTTGCCACCAGAGGTGACATCCACACACAGAGAACCAGGTGGCAGGCAGTGAATGGATGGAACAAACCCCTGGGAGGAACTCTGCTGCAAAGTGGTATCAATTGCAAAAAGACATTTTTTTTTCTGGTTAAGATGTGGGGGAATCAATAGATCTGAAAAATGTGCCTACCTGGATATCTCTACCTGGATGCCTGACAGGCACTTCAAACGCTGACATGTCCACAACAGAGCTCCTGACGGTATCATCCCCGACCTTCTCCCCTGCAGCCTCCTCCATCCCCACACGTGACAACGCCACCCCTCACTGCCCAGCCGAGGGACTCTGGATCACCCTCGTCTTCTCTCTTTTTCCCACACGCCCCTTGTGATCCGGCTGGGTCTACCTTCAAGGCATCTCCAGAATCTGACCCCTTCATTCCACCTTCACTGTGACCACTCCAGTCCTAGCCCCCTCGCTTCTCAGAAACCTGGATGACCGCGACGGCCTCCTTGCTGGTCTCCTGCTCCCGCCCCCGACGCCCTCAGAGCCTATGCTCAAGGTCAGAGGGAGGCTTTCAAAACGAAAAGTCAGATCCCTCTTGCGCTCAGCCTCCTCCAGCGGCTCCCATCACACCACAGTAAAAGCCCAAGTCCTCCGGTGACCTGCGAGCCCCTGAAATTCTTTAGACTCATCTCTTGCTCCGCCCTCCTGTCCCCTCCCCTCGGCCACACCAGCCCCATCTTGTTCCTTATACACCGGTATGGCCCACCCTGTGGCCTTCGGATTTGTTCTCTCTAGAAAGCTTTTCCCCCGATCTCCTTGTGGCTCGTGCCTTACTCCAAGTCTTACTCAAACGTGACCTTCAGAGCGAAGCTTTCCCTGCTCCCCTAATCAATTATTTCAGTGCCTCTGCCACTTCCTTCTCCCTCTCCCTGACGAATTCCTCTCTCCGTGAGTTATCACGAACACATTATATGTCGTACAGTTATCTTGTCTCTCCTGCCACTGGAACATCAGCTCTGCGAGGTCTGAAGATTTTCATCTGTTTGATTCAAGTGCTAGGAACACAGTAGTAAGTTGTGCCAAGTGCCTACTGGGTACTGAGAAAATAGATATTGAGCAAATGAACGTGAAACAGACCAGTACTTTTCAGTCAAAAATCTGTTCCGAATGAGATAAACAGGTTTAAAAAAGTAAAAAAAAAAAGAAGAATTGGTTGAACGGATGGTGCAAATCAGACGGAGCGCCATACGCCAACGAAATTCCGATTCTTGTAATAGTGGATTAAATGACTGGGACCGACTCTTTCACAGAGAACTAAAAAAGCTGGATTAAATATGAAAAATGCCTTCTTAAATATATTGAAGAATTAGAACCTAGAGAGGTAAACCTAACATAAAAAGCTGCTTTTGTCCTGAGGGTATTTGCTGACCTAGAAAAACAGCTAGAAACTTTACTGCATTCTTGGCCTACTCTAAGAGCTAGGGGGACCAGAGTCAAATCCAGGCTCTTCACAAGGAGCAGAATGGGATAAATCACCTCTACTTTTAAGCTGGAACCCCCAAAGGCCTAAACCCTTGCTCAGGTTTGTCTGTGTGCTCCCCAATTCACATGTTGAAATCCTAACCCTCGAGGTGACGGTATTGGGGGGTTGCTTTGGGAGGCCATTAGGTTACGAAGGCAGAGCCCTCAAATGGGGCTAACACCCTTACAAAACGGACCCTAGAGATATCTTTCTCTCCTTCTGCCACGTGAAGTTACAGCGAAATGATGGCTGTCTGCTTAGGAAGCAGCCCCTCGCCAGACGCCCAATCTGCCAGCACTCTGGTCTTGGACTCCCAGGCTCCAGAACTGTGAGAAATACATTTTTGTGGTTTCTAAGCCATCCAATCTGTGGCATTTTGTTTAGAAGCCTGAATGGACTAAGACAGCTCTCAGAACAAGGACGAACCGGAACACGGGGCCTACAGCCTGGCTTTTTATCATCGGCCGAGTTCCAAGAACCACAAGTCTTACATTGTTGGGAGGTGATCTCAGACCTATCGGGTACTGAAGCCCTGGCAGCAGCAAATAAAAATCCTCTCTGGGAGAAGGTACCCTCATCTTAGACCTCAATTTATTCCTATATATACATTTTCAAATATAATAACCAGCATACAGGGAAATAAGCCAACACACAAAGAAACACCATGCCAAAAATAAGAACCAGTCAAAACAAGAGACAACAAAACAGACTTATAAACCTTGAAACACTGGAATATTGGATATAGTCTATTATGCAATCATGCCTACTATGTTCAGAGAAATAAAAGACAAGCTTGCACATTTCAGCAGAGAAGCCGATAACTGTTTTAAAAGATTTGCAAAAGAAACAGAATTTCTAGGTCAAATATCCTTGAACATGAAGAGTGTTTATGGTGGGCACCAAATTGAACTCGAGGGAAGTGTCATGCCATTGGTAATCTGACTTTACCTTCCAATAAAGATGTAGGGCAATAGGTAATTTTCAAAATGGGGGTGAGTATTCATTTTACATATTTTTTAGCTAAAATTCATTTTACATGTGTTTCAGCTAATATGAAGACAAACCATCAGCTCGCCACAGGCGCAAACATACAGATTCCTGAATCCTAAGGGGCGGGGCAGGGCGGGGCAGGGCGGGGGAGCAAGTTCTCTATAAGAGAGTTTAGAAAAAGAGAAAAGAACAGAACCAGTATCCAATTTCATCCTTCTCCACACCCACAGCCACGGAGGTACATCCTTTATATAACCTTCTGGAAGTTTCCCAAATATAGGCCTCACTATTATAAGCAAACCTTCAGAGCACTTCCGAGCATTTTGGTTTTAAGTCTACCGGATGAGGACAGGAATACTCAGTTGTCTCATGGAGGTTTGCTTCCCACCCAATCAGAGATTCTTCACTCATGGGATGCTAGAAATAACTATCATCCTGCAACAAACAGCTGTGT